GAATTATCAGAATGGATATGGTGGTAAAAAATCAAAAAAGTGTTGACATTCATTTTCTTTACATCCACAGTTCTTTGCCGCCAAACTCAGTGAAAAGCTTGATTTTTTCGACCTTATTGAATAACTTTTAAAACTTCGTTCTAGGCTTAAAAGACGTGCAGTTTTGTCCAGTTTTTAATGAAATGATATGTTTGGCTTAGAGTAAAGCGTTATGCTTTCTTTAAAACTTCCGAAATAGTAAACTCCCTCAAAAAACTACCTTGTTCTTCTTCTAACAGGATTTTTCCCATTATCAGAATATCACTACAGTTACACGATGCGGTTAATCGTGATTATTTAACTGTTTAATCATGATTAAGATCTGTTGAGTCGAACCGTAATTTTTTTGGACCATGATTAACGGTATGTAGTCGTAATTAGAAATAATGTGTGTGTCCACACTAATCATAATCAAAAAGATAATCGTGATTTACTAGTACCAATCATTAGCATCCATATACGAGCGCCGCCATAATGACCTTTTTACGATAGAGGCGGTTAAAATTGTTCACGATTAAATTTAATCGTGATCAAAGATAATCATTTTCCCAACATTATTATCTTTAATCATGGTTTTCAAAATAATCGTGAGTAAAGTAGCGGTTACACTACCAGTTTAATCATAATTGTAGGTAATCATGATTAACTGCGCCGTGTAACTATAGTATACGGCTTGTTTAATCGAACATACCAGACAGAAAATGCAACGAATTGTCTATATTCCGGGTAGAGAAAAAAATTGTAACAAGAACTATATCTTTTAAATCATATACGAAAAACGCTTGTTGTTATGTGTTCAAACTTTTCGTTTACCATAGAAAACTGAATTAAATTTACTCTGTTTTGAACTAAAACACAGAACTGAAACTTATTATTTTCAGTATTTCATAGGTTTTGTAGAACTTGGAAAGCTGAATCTTTTGTACCTAAGTGATTATTTTTGTAACTATACGTGAAAGATAACTCCGCTTCGGAAAAAGGCTACTTTTTAGGCCCAAGTACTAGTTTTTGAGCGAGTTTACTATTTTTTTTTACATATCATTTCATTAAAAACTGGACAAAACTGCACGTCTTTTGAGCCTAGAACAAAGTTTTAAAAGTTATTCAATAAGGTCGAAAAAATCAAGTTTCCCATAGATTAAATATAACGTGTTTGAATAAACAAGAAGCTCTGTTATATGTAATAGTTCAAAAGAGTTCAATTATCTGATAATAATAAGAATCAATGGTACGAGGAGGGGATACTAGCCACTAAAAGTTCCAAAACTCAGAATTTTTTGCCAAAATCAGAATATCTGGGATCTCGTTAAGATGCATTTACATTGATGAATAGAATAACCCCTGTCTGCATTTTCATCTTTCATAAGGCTATGAACGTCTTTTGCTATGCTAGCATTCAATCAAGTTTTCCACTTAAAAGTGCGTTAGAAATTCCAAAGTCACGAGGAAAAATGTGATGAATTTTAGTTTTTGGGTGAAATCACAGTGGGCACTCTGCTTGTCCACCGTGACATTAGAAGCGATACTAAGGTTATGGTATGTAATTGTAAATTAATTCGAAGAAGTGCTTTGATGAACGACCGTTTTTAGAAGCATCGACTGTAGAAAGATTTAAAAAAAAAAAATTTTCAAGCGACTTGAACAGCACACGGTTTATCCAAAAATGAGCAAAATATCTGAATCAGGATGTACTCTTGATTGATATTTCAGATGAGTCGATTTTATTCGAAAAAAGACTACGAGCGACAAAGATTGAGTCGTGCAAAACGGAACGATAATTTCTTCGAAACCTTTGCGAATGTTGATGAGATTTCTACAATGGATATGGATACATGTAGCTCTGTAAATGTGTTAACTACGAATGATAACGAAACGGACGTTCCTCCAACCCTTGTTCATACCGATAACACTAATGATGATGAAATCGATGAACCGCTATCTGTAAACAATGATCATGATGAGCAAGAGCCGAGTTTAAGCGAGAGTAGTGGTGAAAGCGATATCGACGAGATAATTTTATCCTTAGATGACAACAAACAAACAAAACTATTTTCAACATGTCCATTATCCATTTATGAAGCGTCAATTTCGATTATTAAATTATGTCGTCGTTTAAATTTAAATAAAGCTGGTATTAAGACTTCACTACATGGATTTCGTGAAATATTACCAATGGCTAATAAATTACCTCTTACTGTTCCAGGTTTAATGAAAATCGCAGGTATTATTGACTACACAGATGTTCAACTAGTATATATGTATTTACTTTGTAGAAAAGCTGTAAAGGTAAAGATGTGTAGGACAAAACTATGTTTGATTCCGGTCTTGCACTGTAAAAAATAAAGTGTGTTACTAGGTGTGTAAATCGTCTAAACAGTCACTCAGCATCGAAAAGTATGTACTTTTTCTAGACGGCCAATCTCAGTGTGTAAGAAGCTAGGTGTGTTAAAAAAAATTCTTATTTGCCATTTTTCTGGCGAACTACTACATCAAACAAAAACATGATTTTAGAATCGTGATCACCGTTCTCGAAAGTATATATGCTGTCACCCCTAGCCAAAACAGATAAGAAAAACAAGCGAAAAAAACACATCGCCATATGATAGATTTGAACAACGGATTGATGGATCTGAGACATTTCCAGCACAGACGGTTTAGACAACTAGACTGCATTATTGGTCTTAGTGTGTAAAACTAGAAGATCACTTCTCAGTGTGTATTGTACACACTTACGCCGTACATTCTAGACGGTCACTGGGAATCGACCTGGCGTTCACTTTATGTGTGTCATTTACACACTTTATTTTTTACAGTGTGTGATTCGCTAGAAGCGAGTGACGGAAAATCGAAGAACTCTCATTTTCGTAATCGTGTTCGAAGAAAAGCACATTTCTTGGAAAAAAGGCGAACTTTGCACAAAAAACTAAAATGTAATTGTACAATTTTCAGCTTAAACGCTAGAAAGCGGGCTCATTCAAGAAGACTGTGTCCTCCTAAAAGACCTTTTTTCTCCCCGTCTCGTGAAAAGTACTACATTTCTTTATAAACTGTCTTATCTTTTATTCGTACTGGCTAATACTGAGAATACGGTTTCTCCAAGAATGTTGTTGAAGCGGACGCGTTTCGCGATATAACTGCATTAAGAGGTAGACATGGACTTTGAATACTTACCATTTTATCTTTGTATTTTTTTCAGGTATGGATTGTTCTAAAAAAGTAACTTATTACTGTCGTGAGTGTCTACATCGACTCAATGCACCCATGCAATCTGAATATTCAAATTTATGCTCACTAAATAATCAACGTCGACCTTTTATGAACGTTAGTGAATTGGTGATTAATGATATTCACTATGAGATTCGTACAACAGCTGAACGTTATATGGATTTAATAAATGAATATCCACAACGTGCGAAAGATTTATTGCCTTGTGATATAATTAATGGTACAGTATATAAAAAATTAACCGAAAATAACCTGAAACAATTAACTATTATGTTACATACAGATGGTGCACCGTTAACAACGGTGGGAGGAAAGTCACTCTGGCCAGTTCAAGCGACACTTGTCGAAATTCCACCCCCCATTCGAGATCATATTGGTGCCATAATGGTTTTTGGTGCTTGGTTAGGAGGCAGACATCCAGATAGAGATCTATTATGGGGAGGAATTGTACAACAAATTAAACAAATGGTTCACAATGGCATTAGAATCAAAATAGATGATACTGTTCATGAACGTTTTAGTGTACGTGTTCAATGGGCAACATTCGATTTACCAGCACTTGCCTTAAATTGCAACATCACACAATTTAATGGATATGACGCTTGCGCCGATTGTAAAGTACATGGTGTTGCTATTGGTAAACAAATTTATTATCCATATTCCGCTCAACCATCTCCACCAAAAACAGATAATGATTATGTAATATTAGGAAGAACAACTAATTCACCGAAATCAGCTTTACATGGGGTTAAAGGATCAACACCCTTAACCGAAATACTACTACTTCCTACACAAATCCCAAAAGATTATATGCATCTAGTCTGTGCAGGACATTTTAAAACATTAATTAATTATTGGAATAATTTATTTATACCTGATGTATTTGATCATGGATCACGTTTTTTGTTAACTGTTATTTTACCACATAGTTTTAATTACCAATTTTTGCCATTAACTC